TGTGCTGCATGCCTAGCATAGGGGTGTGATGCATGTCTAGCATAGGGGTGTGATGCATGCCTAGCAATAAGTATGCACTGTATGCCTAGCAGTAGAGGTGCACTGCATGGATTTCTTTATGGGAGGCAGAAGAACCTAAGTAATAGGTACACAGAAAGTCTAACACCAGGGTGTCATGGTTTTCATGACTTCGCCTGAATAATGTTGTCTAAGACACCGGGGGAAAAAGGAGCAGTTACAAAATCTTTCATTAAGGCAGATATAATATTATGCACAAGCTGGCATAAATTGGACACAAATATTTTTTAAAAACTGAAGCTTAATGGTGTTATGCACGTTGATGTAAAAGTCAATATGAAATATTAGCAACTGTGTACATCAAACCATTAAAAAATGATGAACAATAAAAATGAGGTTTTACTTCAGAATTTCAAACTTCGTGAAATTATACAAAAATCCAATAAATATAAACAACTGGGTTTAAGAAGAATCATCTTATTATCTCAGATATAAGACAAAAAATGCTTGCTAAAATTCAACAATATTTGCTCTTCTTAAAGGCTCAAAACAACAAAACAGATCAGTGATGACTTCTTCAGAATTTATACCAAAAAGCTCAAGACCAAGCTGAAAGTGGAGAGGTTGACAAGCAAGTTTAGCTAGGAGATGTAAGACCCCAAGTTGGTTGTGATGAGCCATGCCCAAACTGCAGGTATCTCACCCACTGAAACAGAAACCATCGGCAAGTTTGATGACACCTTTAGGCACCACAGAGATAAACCAAGCAGATTTGCTGACGGGAACTACAAGTTGATGTAACCCTCTAGCAGGGCAAGTCAGCACCATCTATAAAAATTACATATGCATATACCCTTTGACCGGTCAATTACCCAGTGGGGAATTTATCCTCTAGTTATATTTGCATGGAACAATGTCTCTGCAAGTGTGTTCATTAGTCGCTGGTAAGAACCAGATGGGTAAACCAGCCAAACATCCCCCTACAGGGAGCTGGTTAGGTAGACTCTAGCACATCCATGAACACACCACCAGAAAGGTATAAGTACAACCTTATAACCTGTCTTATCTGGTATATAAACAACATGAAACCTTCTGTACGTGGATATCAAAAAAAGTTTATTTGCATATGTATCATTAAGTCACAAAAATCATATGCACATAAAGAGGTATATTAAGCATCTGTAGAAAAGACTATATATTTATTTCAGGTTTTAAGCAATTTTCTGTGATCTTAATAAATAATCACTTAAATGTTGTCCTCAGGTTATTTTTCTAGCTTGATCATTTACCCATTTCCACGAGGGCATAGCCTACTGGGAATACGCAGTCTACACACAAACAACCATGAACATACAACCCATGCCTTGGTCACACTTTACCACTTAGTAGTCCCTGGTCATCTTTGTATAGATGTTATCCCTGCCCAAAACATCAATCAGCAATGGCCTGCCTGATGAGCTATTCACTCCATAGAAGGACCCCATTCCTGCCATGCCTCCATCCTGAGGGAGAGGAGAGGTACCCCCTTGTGTGGAATCTCTTCTAGGCACCCTTCTTTGTCAGATGACGCCGGAGCTCTTGACTCAGCCCTAGTCTCTAAGGAGATCCTCAGAAATACAAAGGCAATAGTTACATATGCCTATTACTGGCCCAGATTATGTGCAATAAAAATGGTTTAAGTGTGGTGCATGCATTTGTGTGTGTGTGTGTGAGAGCGAGAGAGAGAGAGAGAGAGAGAGAGAGAGAGAGAGAGAGAGCACTAAGTGCCCACCAATGTATCCAATGTATCAGTGGGCAAGTCAAACGCAGCTCATATATACAACACAATATATTCCTTAAACAAGAATGTGTCCTGACACATGCTAGAATGTGAATGAGGCTTGACAGCCGGTGAAATAGGCCATAAGGAAAAGCATCAATGCTGTGTGATGCCACTGATGATACAGGCTACTAAGAGGATTTGAACTCATAGAGACGGGAAATAGAACAGCACCAGGCACGTGCCTGTCGTCTCTTCTCTTGACAAGCTGAGGTAGGAGGATTATGAGCATGAAGTGAACCTGGAATATAGAGTGAGACATCGTCCTTAAACAAAGACAAAGAACGGTGACTGCTGAGGGGTGGTGAAAAAAGGGAGGAGTCATGCTCCAGTGAGTAAAGAATTTCAGTCTCCGATGGTGAAAGGTTCTAGAGATGGATGGTGATAATCACGCCACTAGAGGGTACATTTGAAGATAACCTAAGTAGTCTATTTTATGTTAAGCATATTTTATCACAATAACTATTATGTCCTGAATGGAGGGACTCTAGGAGTCCTTAGGATAAAAGTATTTATCCTGAAATACTTTGTTATAAAAAGATTTGTTCCCAAATTGCTCTTCAATCCTATTTCTGAGAGTGCTAAATATCTTACATCGCTTCCCTGATCATCTCCCCAAACTAATTCTACATTCAGAAGGCTTTCCTGAGCGACTTCACAGAAAGTACTAGTCAATTGGTTGCAAGGACCTTAGTAAACATGCCACATTCATTCCTCAGTAAGTACTGAAGACCCATTATATGAGAAGGCAAAGTGTATGACATGAATCTCTTCCCTTCAGGCTCACGGGGTTCCAGTGACTCTGTAGACCCAAGAAACCTTAAAGACTCCTCACTGTCACGTCCTTCCATCCTGTAGGGCCATCCTGTCCCTGATCCCTCCTCTTTCCTACAGCGGTTTCCTGTTAGGATGCTGTATTCACCATTTCCTATTACTATGACAACGTGCCTGAGAAAAACTTCAATAACGAACGCTCTGTTTTGACCCACAGTCTCACAGGACTCAGCTCATGGATAGCACATGATTCTAGGACTGTGTGGGAAAGGAACTTCTTCACTTCAGTATGGGCATGAATGAAGCCTGAAGGTGGAGAAGGGGAAGGGTTGGACGTAGAGAGAGAGAGAATATTCCAGAAATAAGATTATCTCAAGGATCTACCTGCAGTGACTTGCTTTATCCAGGTGTTTCCCACCTCCTAGGGGTCTCAGAATGTCCTTCTGTTGTTGAGTATTTCGTCACCACGACACAATCTAACAACATTTTGGAAAGGGAATCTAAACTGAAACATACCTGCATTAGTTTGGCAAGTGAGGCGGGGCATTCCTTTCACTGAGGACTCTAGGCAGTGCCACCCCTGGGCAGGTGGTCCTGGATTGAAAAACAAAAAGAAGAAAAGCAAGCTAAGAAAGCCATAGGGAGCAAACCAGGAGTAGGATTCTTCCACGGCGTCTGCTTTAGTTCTTGCCCCGACTTCCTTCATGATGGACCATAAGCTGTAAGATGAAATAAAATCCCTCAACCATATTTGATCAGTTCTTTTATTCACAACAATAGAAAACAGACTAAGACACTCCTCAAATAGTGGGTGAGCCTTTTAGGGATAAACTTTATATCCAGACCATAACAGATATTATGTGTTTGTGAAATGTTCCAAGAGAAGACCAGTTCTCTTGTGTAAATAAAATGGAAAAGGCAAAATGCATTGTCTGGACAGACAAGCATATCTTTAATGGTCTATTTTTGAGTTGGTTGTTGCTGGAGTAGAGAAGTGCTGTGGATATTCTAATTTGGCATCCAGAAATGCGAATGAAGTCTCTTGTTAGTTCTAATACTATATGTTGATTTAATTGATCATTCTGGACATACAGTTATATCATTTGCAGATAATTTCTGATACATCCCATCCCTCTCTATTCTTCCAAGGACCCTCTGTGTTATGTCAGAGCATTGGCCACAGCCTTTTTAAATGAACTTCAGAGACAAGTACCATAAGGCCTCAAAAAAGGATTCATTTCATTATGTTGAACTAAAAGAGTCTTCTTCAAAAGACAATAAACAAAATTACTAGATGATACAAGAGAAAATATTTGTAATACTTAAAACAAGCCCCTACTGTTTCCAGAATTCATAAGGAATTTCTGCATAACCACAAAGAGGAAACATCAATCCAGTGGAGAAAAATGGTCAAGAGTGTTATTAGCAAGATATAGATGAGATAATTCTAAAGATAACAAGCACAATGATGAGATGCTTAAAACAAGAAATAGAGAAATACAAATTAACACATTAATGAGGTATCATTTATGCACGTTTGGCTGAATGAGAAAACAGGATAATGCCAAATGTTGGGATGAATGTGAGATAATAACTCACTGCTATTGGCAAGTGACCAGTGCATCAACCCAGTAGTCAGTTATAGTATAATAATTGGTTAACTTTAATATAAGCATCTGCTACAGGGTATGCGCCCCCTTCCCAGATTTTTCTATTTGTCTAGAGGTAGACATGCTCACAGAAGTTTATTACAGTATGCACAGGTTGAGGGGTAGAAGCTACTGAATTACCAACCAGGGGGTAAGTGGACTAGTGAAATATGGTGAATGCAAGCCACAGAGTAACCGCCCCCCCAATGAATGATTTGAAAGAGACAAACTAGAGACGCACATACCAACATGCACGGGTTTTCGAAACAGTGCCAAGTGAGAAAAAATTCAAACAAGATGATGCTGTCTCAACCAATAGCATTTCCATAAAATTAAGTTTCATGCATATAAATCAAGATTATATACATATTTGTGAGAACCCAGTGGAACACAAAACTCAAGTATGTGTTAACATATCAAAATGGTTGTTGATGGGCACAGGATGTGGGGATAAAGTGGATGAATAAATAACCCAGGCAGATTCTTATACAGGGCAACAGTGTCAACCCCTCATCATGGAAGAGCAAGATTCCTGTTTTGAACAAAGTCTTTCCGAGAAAAGAAAGTCGGATCAAGCCAGTACCTCAGGGTTGACATAAGGTTGCCTTCTTGCTCATCCAAAGCAACATGGCAAATATGGTCAGTTTCTAATGCAAAAATGGTTGATTACTCCAATAACATCCATGCCACTATTGTACTTGTTGGTCTATCTTGTGAGGCCAGTCATTTACACAGTCCGCACAGTTCATAGCTGCTTAAGACTGCTGGTCACTTTTCTCCCCTGGCAGTGTGCATAGAACTTTACAGTACAATGAAAGCTAGCCAGTAGAGATAGCGTTTCTAAGCTGGAGTACCTGCTTGATTCCCCCAGGTCCTGTGACTCAAGGATGGGGCATCTTCAGCAATAAGGTCTTACCATCAACTTCTGGAGGGTGACCAAGAGCTATGGCAAGATTCTGTAATGTTTGCAGAGGGGAGTCCATGGGATTCCACTGACCAACAGCTTGGAAAGAGGTAGCCCATGCTGTCCTACACCCATGCACATATAGAAGGACTCAGGGGGTTGAAAAAATAGAGTACATGAATTCGTGAGGGGAAAGTCATTGGAGCAGGGCACAGGGGAAGGATTGGAAAAGGAGTGGGGGTGGATTTTTATCAAAATATATTATAGTCATGTATGGAATTTTGAGGCAATGAAAAAACTAAAAGTAAAAGGGATATTCTGTCATGAGAAGTGTCACCGAGCATGCACCATACTGTGGAGTAAAAGTGAAGTTCAGGGAAGGAGACCCTGCTTGCCTGTCACCCACGTGGTAGACAAAGTCAATAGAACTTTGTAGAACAAGGGGACCAAGAAGGGAACTATCTCTCATTCTTCTCCCAGACCCTCTCCCTTCCTCCTGCTGTTCTGAGCACAGGGTATGGGCGGTTCAGAGAAAGGTGTCCTGGCTCTTCATCTGCAGGCCTCTCATCCTCCCTGCTCATGTTACCTGAGAGGACGAGTGAGGAGCAAACCAGGAGAGAGAGCCCTAGCCTGCGTTCTTTCCGTGGAGGAAAGATGATTCCTCTCAACCATGCGTTCAGTTTCTGTAGTTTCAGTTACAGAAGGTCAACTATAACCTGTAAATATGAAATGGAAACCTGTAAAACAACAACAAGAAAAACTGGTTCACACATTCTCATGTTGCCTGCTCAGCGTCCTGGGTGCTGTGATGAAATACCACAGCATCACACTCTGCCCTGTCCGTGAAGTGAACTTCATCCAAAGTACACAGACTGTATACGCTATCCATCTGGTGGTCACTTGGTAGCTGTCTCAACGATCAAAGTGGCTGTCACGGTATAACAGTGTCGTGTACTTACCTTTCTTGTTCCTGTGTCAAAATGCCCGCAAGAACAACTTAAAAAGAGAAAGTATCTAATTTCTTGTGGCTTCAACGAGCTCCGTTCACAGTTTCTTAGCTCTGTACCCTTGACTGGAACATCATAGTGGTGAGATCACGAGATGGAAGAAAGTCTTCAGCTCAGGAAGACAGGAAGCAGAGAGAGGGGAAGAGACTGGAGATCACATAGATAACCTTCAGAGGTATTCTCTCTGTGACCCTCGTCTCCACCCAAGCCACACTCTCTGAAGTTCCAATATGACTGTGCCACCTAGGAACCAAGTGATCAACACATGAACCTGTGGGGAGCTCTTCATAAACACATCATAATGGGAATTCATGAGCAAGTGGTTCTGACGTTAATTAATGGTGGTCCACCCCAAAGTATAAGATTGTGTTCTCCCAAATCAAATATGCCAAAGGAAAGCCCCCAAATTCTTTCAGTGTGTGACAAGGGTGAAAGGAGAGAAATCACATTTACAGATGTTTGATAACCACAGTGGACTGTTATCATTACTTTATTTTTGCTCCTCATTGTTGATTTCTTAGCATATCTAACATAACTTCACGTGAAGTATGTCTATGGAGAAGCGTGTGTCTGGTTCAGTGCTCTTTGCAATTTCAAGTTACAGTGGGGGTATATAACTCACACAAATAAGGAGGGAACCACAACTCCTCTTTGTAAAAAAAAAATCTCTGATTTATAGAAGATAAACGATGGTTCTGGAAGGTTGTGAAGGACTTGGAGAGATGACTCAGTGGATTTGGTTTCCACACCAATTAGTTCACAAGCATCTGTAACTCCAGTTCCAGGGTCTCAGATACCATCTTCTCTCCTCAATGGGCACTATATGCATATGACACATATGCATACATGCATGCAAAATACAAATAAATAATTTAAAGAAGCCCATAAGTGCTGGGCGGTGGTGGTGCACACTTTAATCCCAGTACTCAGGAAGCAGAAGCAGGTAGATCTCTGTGAGTTTGAGGCCAGCCTGGTCTACCAAAACTAGTTCCAGAACAGACTCCAAGGCTACAGAGAAATCCTGTCTCAAAACAAAAGCAAAAGAGGAGGAGGAGGAGAAGAGGAGGAAGAGGAGAAAGAGAAAGATAAGGAGGAGGAGAGGAAGGAGGAGGAGGAGAAGAAGAAGAAGGAGAAGCAGCAGCCCATAAGGGCAGGATATTGTGATGTATGTCTTTATTCACAGCACTTGGGAAGTTGCTGTAGGCAAAACTCTGTGATTTTGAGGCTGTCCTGGCTTGCATAGTGAGCTCCAGGCCAGCCAAGACTACATAGTGAGATCCTATTTCAAAAAAATAAGGGAGTAAGTAATAAATAAAACTCACAAGGTAGGAAACAACACACCCAGATTTTTTCTGTGGCTTTTCTGGTTAATATATCATATGATTTAGAATTAGAATGGTCAGTTCATGCACCCAAAAAAACTAGGGGCCCATGCTTGGCAATGACAGTTTTGATACTGATACGTAAAACAAAGCACAGAAAAAACACCCACCATTATTTATTAATCTCTGTCTAGGAAACTCAAGTATCCAAGTGAGCACAGGTCATAGCTGTGACAGGTAAGTCTTCCAAGAAGCTAGCCAGCCTATTCTCACCAATCGTTTGGAGTTGGGTTCTTACCTTTCAAGCCTTAACCAACTGGAAATCAGAAACTGTGAAGAAAAGTAATTGTGGTGAACATCTAGGACATCAGGGAGTGGATTGAGTGGATGCAAGACACTGTGGAGGGAGGGGGGTGGGCTGGTTATGAATTCAGAGTAATTCCACTGTAAAAGCATGGTGTGATCAACGTTGTAATTCAGGGCAGATCTTCTTGCTTATCAATGCCTATAAACATCCCTGGGAAATCAAAGAATCACTGCAAGAAGCTCAGT